CATGCTGTATCATCGCTTCATCTCCGTGCTAGCCCGCAATGCCAAAGGTGAATATCAGATCAAGATGGAGAATTTTGACACAACTATTCCTGAGCTCCCAGCTGCAGCTGACTCAAAGAGTCCAAAAAGGACTGACAAGGAGATCCGCATCAATGGACAGCACACCGACAGCTTCCAGCTCTCTGAGACTGGCTTCACAGAATAGAGAGAATAGATTTGAACTTTGTGCTTTTTTAATTATTATGACATTAAACTTTCAGGTTTTTCATAACCTACCTTCCTTGCCTGTCCTGCTGTCTTCTAGTGATCTTTCTCTTGTACTCCCACCCTTTTGATTATAACATCATATGCAGAGTAAAGATAACTGGTGTGCCCGTGTAAACTGAGGAGAGGCTGGATTAACCACCTAGGACAAAGTCAGGTGCAAGAATCACAGTACTAATTCTCGGAAATTAAACAAGCTACCTGCTGAATTCACCAGACTACGATTAAAGCTGCACTGACCCTCAAATGAGAAACCTTCAAAACTCCCAGAGCTGACCAAAATCATAATTAACTGGATTGTGACAAAATGAACAATATAAAAGAAAAATCTCAGTCAAAACCAATATGGGGTCATTCAGTAAATATATTCGTTCTGGGATAAGCAACTCTGTGCATCCAATATCCTAATTTTTCTGTTCTCTTAACTCTTTGGGGATACAGAGTTATACCCATTTTCAGATGGCTGAATTCACTCTTAGAAAGTACTGCCAATCTCTCATGGCAGTGAAAAGCACTCCTGCTGTGCTTATTAAGCAAAATTGTAAATACTAACTGTAGTTCTTCACTCTGCCAAGTAAGAGAACATCTCATTTCAAGACAGGTCTATGAAGACATTATCAAAAAATCTTGATGTATATGACAAATGCTGCAGTGGAAATTTTTTTGTATTTGGAAACACTAAGTTATTTAGCAGTGGAAAACAGACTATTCTAAATTAACATACTCTTAAAAGGACCGTACATTCCACATGTTCTCACCTTTGTGCTCCTTGTCTCAAGTAGATCTGACCCAGAAGGATGCACTATATATACACAAGTAGAACTGCATCCATTTATATTTTATGCTTTTTAACTTTAATATTTGCCTGTACACACAGCACAAAAATATTTAGACGCTTGAATCAATTTTAAAATAAAAAATTAAAATAAACTATACATGGGACTTCCGTATTTAAGCGCCTCAAACCTATTCCAATCAAGACACTGTTCTGAAGCTCCTAAATAATTTAAAAAGTTGATGGATAATCATTTCCAAGCTCTCAACAAAAGCAGTGCCTATTACGTGTTCATACTTGGAACAGTCAAGCACCAAAATAAAGCAAAAGTTATCTTTCAAAGGTAAAAGACTTCTCCCCAGAAACCAAGATGGCATAAATTGCAACTTCACTGACAACAGCGTAATAAGCCACTAAATACGCTTCCTTTTAACTTCACTGAAGTGGTCAGCAGCAGAAAAAATGGCCTCAAGCTATCTGATGAGATACTGCTTAACTGAATCCTTATCAAGCCCCAAACCTCTTAAGTGAAGTGTGTTCACAACCTGAGAGAAGCCAGCAAAAAGCAACTTTGTTTTAGGGTCTGGGGCAAAGGGAAGCAGCCCCAGAGAAGCATGTCACACAAGGAAGGGGAAAGAAACAGAAAGCCCACATTTTCATTGTAATTCAGCTCTCGTTCCAAAATCGTTCAAGTATTGCCTCCTCACATTCCAGACTTCAGCGTTAGTTTTATCACAGATCCTCTCAAAATCTCTTTTTAAAAATTTAATTTTATGTAAAAGCATTCATGAATGTTGCGGAGCTTGTAGAGCCACACACTCCGAAGTTACACTGCCTTCATTCCCCCCTCTTCTTAGCTGTTAACCCATATGCAGTCTAAAGATCCCTTCTCCACACCCATATCAGTACCAATATTTAAGTATTTCTTGCAAGTGTTATTTCCACATTCTCTACCAATATAAAACACTGAGAAGAGTCCTACAAATTAGGAACCAGTGCAAGAGCAGTAGAATAGATTCCTGCATCAAGTCCAAAACAACCACTTAGGAAAAAAAAAAAGCAGCATTGTGAGAGGTATTGTTTTTCCCCATACATCTCATACTCCAGTCTCAGACAAACCAATTCTTCTAAAATTCAGATGCATAATCCCAACTTGATGGTACTATGTCACCATTTAGAGCCAAAGCTACAAAAAGCTATTTCTAATTTCAATCAATATCTAATCAAAGTGTTGGCTGCTTCGTTTGGTTCTAAATGACTTGATGCTTTAAACTTGTCCTGATTTTCTGTTTGGTTTAGAAGGGGGGGTACAACAGTAAGTATAAGGAAAAATAACGTTTATAGTGTACACTAAATGCAATCTTCAAACACCACATTTTGAATGTCAAGTTGAAGAATATTACAGAAGCAAATTAGACAAACAACTGTGTAGTTATTTCAGAACAGCTGCAGAACAAGGGGTAGACAAAACACCCCTACTGCCTTTATAGTTCCAGAGAACTGGTGAACCACGGATATCTGCTAAAGCATTGGAAATATGCCATGGCCCAAATCGGAATACAAGTCTAGAAAAAAATGCTGATGGGCTCTGATGCAACAGAACTGCACCATACGCTTTGACTAACATTGCAAGTGCAAGCTGGTGATGAACCTTCTTCAGATGCACTCCTTGCTAGCGATGTAGGGAAGAACAACAAGCCAGGCAGAGTAAGGGAAAACGTGATTCAAAATAATTCAACATTCTTTTTATACTCAATTGAACACCCTGTTTATGTTCAAGTCATCTTAACCCAACCAAAAAATACACATTAAACAGAACTCAATCACGCTCCACAACTGACTTCTTAAATGTCTTGTTTGATCTACATTACAGTTATTTACTACTAGTGTGTAATTGCTGGTAACTAATCAAATCCCCTCAGCTACTAAGCTGGTATTAGGCAAAAGGCTGCACAAAAAAATTAAGCAGCTTTTGTGTAGTTCTAAAAGACAGCTGTGATCAAGAAAACTTGCTTATTTTCTTTGCTAATGGCCTCAGCCTTACAGAAGCGATTTGGGTTTTCAATGAAGTCTGTCAGAACTGTGACAATCTGCAAGAGAAACTCACAAATACTTTGTGCATCTTCAATTTGCATACTGAAACTAGGAACAGATATTGTTTATGTTGAGAATCAGTCAAATGTGAACTTGCAAACTGTTGTGAGCACTGCAAAAGCAATCAATCTTTAAGAACAACATATTGATCATATTTCAGAAGTAATTCTTTGTTGAAGGTCTATTACTTTTTTAATCTCATGATTTTTAATTGAGGGGTTCTTGCACTGTCACCATTACGAATGCCCAGAAGAGTTTAATATTTGATCTCTTATTAATTCTGTAATGTGATCACCCTGAACAAAGAGTACAAAAAAGCTGGCAACTCAGTAAATTACGTAATTTGATGGTAATCCAAGGCTCTATGAAAGAGCAATGAAAAACTGAAGCCAAATGAAGTTAAATAAAATCCTAAACTAAGGAGTTTATCCAGGGTAACAGAAACCAATATATGCATCTGTTGAAGCATGTCAGCCTGAATTATAAACTGCATGTCAATTCACATGATCTTTCTGCTTCCACTGCTTTGTGCTACCACTAGTGCTTGGTGTTAACACGGGACTTCTTTTGGCACATCTGTATCCCTATCTCACATCCAAAATACTTTGTCATTGGAAAGCCTTTACGTAACAGTAACTATTTGTTCATTAACCAAGGCTTGAGTCAAAACAGACCCACCAACACCTTCTGTTAACATTTTTGTGCTCTCTACCTTATTTCTCTTTGAAGGTAAAGAGGAGAGAAATGGTCCTCCCACCTATTGGGACATTAATCTCTAACACCGCAAAATGCAAACAAACTACTAATGTTAAAAAAATTTTATATTAAAACTTCAGAAAGATTGCAGGTCTCTTGCCTTTATCATACTGTACTACAGAGCTTTTATCCAAATAAGATCAAACTACAAGAGAAATAGAATAAGAGACTTAAGAGGAGCAACCAGGTACTACAGAAAGCTTCATGATTTGAGAACAAACACAATGAACCAAGACTTCCACCAAAGCACACTGTGACACCATCTTGTCTGTAAAATGGTTCACAGAAGATGCATTCCAAAGTCCTGATCACTAGTAGCTGCTACTAACAAGACACTAACCCTCACATTCAGGCAGAAGTCAGCTTCAGTAAGGACATCTTGCATACTGTAAATTCATCTCGATTTCAACCAAGAGATACATCTCATCTAAACTGACATGCAGTATTTTAATCACAGTCTTAATCAGAAGTGTGATACATTCTATAGTCTGGAACTGGAAGTGTTGTAATTTTATCAGAACAGGAAGGGGCTAAATAAATAAAATGGAATCAACTGTGGTAGATATTATTTTTACATCCATTTGTCTTCCATAAAAAAAACTGTCCTGAAATTTCAGTAGTACTTATTTTTTTCCATTTTCACTTTTTTCCAAAAGGTCTCTGAATTTAAATACAAACTCAAAAGTCCAAAGTTTCACTACTGGCATTTAAAGATGGACAATCTCAGACCAATCTCAAGTTATTTTTAGAAGTAATCTCTTTTTAACAAAAACAATGAGAAAAAAAAAAAATCTTAGTTTTACGTTAACTTTCAACTTAAAGAGCACTCTTTAAAATATATGCAAATCAATTCCCACACAGAGAGGACTGGGAGGGCTTGGAAAGCAAACATGCTAATTTAAGACTCCTAAGACATGTGACGCCATAGTACTCTGGAAGATTATTAAAATGGCAACTCACACTAGTATCACTAAAATACTGACAACTAAGCAGGGATTAAAATACAATACATTCCTGCCAATTTTTAATTGCAACTGAATCTTTGGTTTTGTTTGTCTTGAAATTCAACCTGCAATTGTCTTTTCTGATCTACGCTTTATCAATATATTCACTAAGGAGGATATCTAGCCAAGACTCCTTCAACAAAGGCCAGAAGATCCTCTGGGTCCTAAAAAGACAAGACTCACTGTCAGCAAGCTTTTACTAGTACAAAACCTCTCACTAAGCACAGCTATGGTACATACATGTGGAAAGGTGCTACAGAGAAACAGCAAGGTCATACCAGAGAACAATCAATGCATGATTCCACAAAGCAGAAAATCACTACAGTTACCATACAACCAGTTGACAGAGAACTTCATTCAATGTTCTTACCACTCTCAGAGAGCGGATTTTACCTAAATGGATGTGTTCCATCTCCAAGATGATAACCCACTCCAACTCAAGTCCAGCTGAACGTTCAGACATACTGGATCACAGTTAAGGATCCAATATTCTGCCTGAATATGGCCAGTGTGAAGCATTTAAGAAATAGAATAGGAGAGGAATGGCAGAGAAAGGGACCAGATGATAACCTGAAGGAACAGAAGATCTGCATGACGACAAACTAGTTTAACAGTCAGTAAACCTATCAGCATAGGAATCTCAGAACATTGCTGCTGGGGTATACCTCATACTAGCAAGCATTCAAAAAAACTAATAGTTCACATGGTCCAGAGGTCCTAGGTACCAAAACAGCACACGCCAAGAACATTTAAAAGCTGCATTGAAACAGCATATTGCCACAGCACACCTGTTCATCAGTACAGACTCCTTTCACAGAGGGACAGGAAATGAGTCCCAGCTGTAGACATCACATCTTAATTGAATAAACAGAGCCTACTTACTGCAGATTTTTCTTATCTAAAAGATTTAAGTGTCTAATAGTGAAAACAACACAAAAGAAAAAACAACACTTTGAGAACACATTTAGGTAACCTGGCACAGTATCATGAATCTTGTATCAACAATATACTTGGAGCAGTAAGAAAAGTTTATGTACATATAGGTTCCTTCCCCAAAACACACCCTGCTCCTCCCTCCCATTTTCTGCCCACACAGGAACAAAACCATACCTGGATCTTTTCGCCCTGGTTTTTCAAAGCGTCTGTCTCCCCTAGAAAGGCAGAATAGAAGTTTCAAATAAGGTTTTGGAACGACTCCACTCATTTTAGGTATGGTTTTGGGTTTTTTGTTTTGTCGGTGTTGGTTTTGTTTGGTCGGTTTTGTGGGTTGGTTTTGGTTGTTTTTGGTTTTTTACATGGTAGGGGCTTTTTAAAATCAGAGCTTGACAGACAGTATTTTTAAAGGTCCAAGTGACAACTTAAATTTTCAGGAACACTGATACGCACACAGCCTTTGGCAACTACTACGTTTTGAAATGTGACCCTAAGTACCTCAACAATGTTGAGACTAAAACTGAAGCAAATCCTTTAGCAATCCATATTTTCACCCACAATTTCCACTGCAACTCTCATAATTTATACTCTTTTAAAGTCGTTCCCTCCTCCCAGGAACTCAGCAGAAAAATTCTTTCCAAAAATGCTCTTTTACTTGCTCCTGAGTTTCCAGAAATATTAATGTGTTGACTCCATCTTAGAAATTCAGACACTCCTCTCAGATACACCTAATCACCTTTCCTAAAGTGTTTTTATGAAGTCAAAAGGCACAAATGGAAGCTGAGCAGATACACGTAAAAAACTTTAAGGGCTAGAGTTCTGTTACCTTTCCTCCCAACTCTGTGATCTGTGCATTTCCCTGCCCCCTCCTCGCCCAAATCCACCCTCCACTTCATCAAAACTTCTTTGGTAGAAACCGCTTTCTCCTCGGCCTCTGCCTGAAAAGACAAAAAACACAAAGTGTTTGTACAAATAATATTAGAAGTTGAAAGAATCAGGTATGTTTCCCCTTCCTGGTGTCCCTGTGAACTAATCTTGCAGTTGTAAGCCCAGTGAAATTATCTGGGGCAAATGGAAAAAGGAACAAAGCCTGAAGAAAGAGTCTTATGCAAAAATTCTCATCAAGAAGCACAAGATCAGACAGAACAGGTAAACAATTCTGAAATACTATGCACAAAAAAAAAACCCAACAAAAGAAAACAGAAACCAGATACTTACCCAACAGAAATTACCAAACAAGGATGCATTGCTCACACAACATCCACACAGTACATGTGTACTTTACACTCATAAAAATCAAATTGCTTTTAACAGCAGAATCCAGTATAACAGTACTGTACTGCAGAGGTACTCGTAATTACTACTGTCAAGGTTAAGAAGAGAGAAGGAAGCTTCACTGCTATTAAGTTCTAGTGATTCCCAGCAGAAATCTCCCCCAGGCGCAGTGGGGAGAAAAGAAGGCTGACAGGATGGGTATAGGCAGGACAGCATAAAGAACCCCAATAGCTTTAGAATAAAGATTATCCTCCTCATTTTTTCAATAAATTATTTGACACAGGCTGCTACCAAGTATCAAGCCTCAAGCCAAAAAGTCACAGATGTAACCTCAAGTACAGCATCTTGAAAGCAAGCATATCTTTACTGTTTGGGTAGGCATGAGGCATTTGGTTAAAAAAAGGAAAAAATAAAACAGAAAAACAACACCCACACACATCCCCAGACCTTCAAGATAGCTTCCAGCACTAGTTAGATTAATGGATGGGGTGAAGTTTCCAGATGTACAAGAGATAAACACTGCTTCATGAAGTGCTACAGCAGAAGAAATGTGAGGGGTTTTTTATGAGCTAACTTACCATTTCAAGGATCTCATGGAAAGAGCATGAAGAAGTGAAACACATCGATCAGCTGGCTGTCAGCATAATGCCTTTGCTACATACACATGCAGCCTCTACAGTAAAGCCCAAGAACCTAAAAAGCACCTGATAAAGGAAATTCTTGGCTGTGAAACTATCAAACACCTCAATCCTTTCATATTTATCACTTCCAAGCTTCAAGAAAACAAGCACTTCAAAGGAAGAGGTGCAAACCTGGCCAGAGATCCAGAGGAATAAGGCAGAATGACCAAACGAAACAGGAAATAAACAGCTTGACAATGGACTCCAGTATCTGCAGTCTTCCAAAGAAATAACAGTAACATGCCTCTACATCTAAAATCCAATGACTGCTGGGTGAATCAAGGAGTTGTACCATATTTCAGTGTCTTATGAAAAGAGGGTCTAAAAAACCTGAAATAATCAAGGCAGTTGCAACAGTTTCTCTACTATTCTATACCAAATCTCTTGCAAAAAAACCCCAAAAAGTCGCTTTCCAGGTAAAGAAAAAGAAGGGTGATCCTCAGATAATCCAGTCAGGCTCCTCAAATACATACTGATTTCATATCAGGCAGTATAGGTTGCAGAGTGTACAAGGAAGCCACAAAGTTAACATCTGTACGATTTCCCCTTCTGCTTCAGAAACAGGATTCAAACATCCTCTTTAGACAAAACTATCCTGTTCCTAGCACCAGCAAAGCAGTTCAGTGCAGACCACCTTACCACAGAGTTTTGGGGATGCTTAAGTTCAGATAGAGACTGGACAAACTCATAAAAGATAAGTAACACTGAGATTTACTAAACACAAGGACCACATCCGGTTCAGGAAATACACCGAGCTGTAAGTGTCTGGAAGGTGAGCATACATGTGATGCTTCTTCACCTCTGTTTTTACACAGCCCTTATTCTCTTGCGAAAGTGTCTTCTTTTGGCTGTTGCTAGAGACAGACTACTGAGACAAGCTCTGGCCTAATTCAGCACAGCTGTTCTTACACAAACTCAGGTGGAGACAGAGGAGTTGACTGAGCACTCAAGGCAAGAGAAGAGATGAGTATCAGACCTATACCCATACTAGAAACACAAACACCTTCACTGTGACAAGTCTGATGCTACAAGGTTGACCATAGTTACGAGTGCAAAACAAGATGCAAAAGCAAGAAACAGTAAAGATGTGATACAAGACCACAAGTAGCACAATGTTTATCCAGTTAATGCATTATGGGTCCCCCAAGATCCTGGAGAAGGACTCCAAGCTGTTATTCTCCACAAATAAAGCCCAGGAAAGTTTAAGCATCTCATGCAATGGCAATCTTTGCCTAGTTTCTTCACTACAGGAAAGCTCTCTTCCTTCCTCTCACAGGAGATAACAAAGCAAAAGCAGTTCACAAGAGAAAGCAAGAGAAAGCTACAGGCAGGCAGAGTCAAAACAACACAAAGGCACTGACTCATCTCATGTCTCTGAGGCAGTGGAGGTGGAAAGTTGCATACACTTTTCCAACAGAAACAAAACCAGTTGTCCTCTTTGCTTTTTTACAGCCACTGACAGCAACATTTCTAGTGCTCCCCTTGCAGTGTGAGCAAGCATGAATGCACACTGATAACTGATAGCAGACAGCCAGCTACCAGAGCCAGAAGGCTGGTGATATGGGAGATTTCATCAGCAAATAAAGGAAACATCCTGCATAAGGGGAAGAACAGAATCAGAGTTGTTTTAACAGCAGCATGGCTTATGGCAGCTTTAAAACTATGTGAAACAAGAGCCTGAGAAATCTCTCTCCACTTACCCCCCTCTGTGTCACAGTTCATCAGTATTTCAGTGGTGCTCAGCCACCGAAATGGTTTGAATTACAAGATAAACTTGCAAAAGGTCCAACAAATCATCTCAGCAATTCAGTTTAAGGCTGCCTGTGGGGCCATGGTACCCAGATCCCACCTGTACTGATAACCCATAGTACCAGACAGGACCTATTTAAGCCACTTTTGCCCTGGCTGTGTTGCCACCCTCCTCCACCACACTCTCCAAGGTACACCGCCCAGGTGCCCTAACAAGATGTGCCCATACAGCCCATATGCAACTCCAGCAAAAACCAAGTAGACCACTGCATGAGAAGCATACCACATTAAAACAGATCCTACCAAGCTACAGAAGGTAAGCAGCTAGTTAAGGAAAGCTGTGGTGTACAAAGTCAGTTATTCAGCAAGTATTACACAGCTGAGTCTGACCTGAAAGTGCACACTAGGACGCAGCTAATACGGATAACAGAACATACGAAAAATGCTGGTGGAGAGGACAAAACTGCACATACAAGCACACTGTTCACCATTCTGTTTCTGCACTTCCTGGCTTTTTTGTGGCTAATAAATCTAGAACGACATGCTTACTTTAAATAGAACACCACTTCTGAAAAAATGCCTGGCACATGAGCAGCAGACTTCCTAAGTATAGATGTTGCACAAAGCACTGAATGCAAAGTCAACAGATGTCAATAAACCCTTCCGTTGAAGAACTGAATGGAGCAGCTGTGTCATTTGTATTTCAGTAACGCCTTAAAAAACTCAGAATGAGGACCTCAATCCACTGGATATTGTAATAATAACAGCCGAAAGTCTCTAATCTGAAAAACAGACAAGTCTGAATTTAAGTAAAAAATACAAGACACAAGCAAGAGGGCAAGAAGCAGCACACACTGTCATTCTAATTGTCATTACAAAAAAAAAAAACCAAACAAACAACACAATACAAGCAGCAAATTCTTGAAATTACAACATGTTTTAGGAAATTACATGGAGTTTAGGATCTACAATCATAGCCATACTACTGTGCGGGAAGAACAGGATAACTGTAGTTCAACTGCTTTTTAGGTATGAGAACTTTCCACCTGCACACCATTTACACACTTTCCAACAGCAGCAAAGGCAAATTACAAAGGGGAAAGAGGGTGGGAAGAGAAAGCGCTCTAGTGGGAAGAACAGTACCCTTCATAAGGGTCTTAACCAAAAAGGAGAACAGCTACAAAACAAGGTGTCTGGAAGCTTACAGCCCATGCCAGGGACTGTTTAAATCTCTCCTCATCTGAGACTCTTATTCATGAATGTTGACATTCCAGTCCTGCCAGCACAAAGCACAGGGCTTAGCTGCACACCACAGGGAGCTCCCAGGAAAACAAGTCAATTAGAAAAAAGGTCACGTGCAAGTACTTGGTTTCTTTAGAGACTATAACTTTAGAACTAAAAATGTTTTGGATTTATGTCTCCACACAAGACACACGGTGTTACTGACAGCAGTTGCGCACTGCAAATGGTTTTAAATGGTAACACCAAGTTGCATTTCAGCACACAATCATAAAGATTTTAAACAAAAAACAAAGCAACTTCCACATAGTACTACTTTTCACATCAGCTAAACAATTACTGTCGGTAAGACTTGGGGTGACTATTGAGAAAATATTTACTGAGTGTTATGGTGTAGTTTTAAATACTGATACGGGAAGTCACATTTAGTGTTCTAACAATAACCTTCCTTTACCAGCAGTTCATCTCTTCTTCCCTTTAACAATCTGTCATAAATTCCCTCTCACACTCCCAAATGCTGGAACACAATTCTGTGATTTGTGCCTCAGTGATGGAACTTAATTAAGAAATCTAATCGTACATGCAAATTCTCCCCTGAAGTTACTGTTGTGCAAGTCACTTCAAGACAGTAATCTTGTTTTGGTAAGGCTGAAGCCCGCATTTGATCATCAGCAGCTTTGTTGCATACAATGACATAAAGTTCACGAAAAACACCAGATAACCTTTTGAACTCAGGCGATTTCGCAATGCAATAAAGAAAAAGGTTTTCCAACTATTAAGTGAAGCAGTTCATTTAGTGAACAAACTCCAAAGAAATTTCAGGTCCTTTTCACTGTAACTTGAAAAAAACAGAACCGCATTGAAAGCTTCCTACTTGCAAGCAGCATGTTAGTTTTTTAAGTTAGACATTAACAGTCCTACACTGAGCTTATCATAAATACCTATCAGAAACAAAGTTCTTAATTACAAGATCATAATGTGTATCATTTTGAAAAAATGTACAAATTTGTCCTGGCAGAAGCCATAATTTGTTTGCTGAGATACAGAAACTTTGGGAAGACTCATCATGCCTAAAGCCCAAGACTAATTGCTCAAGAAAAGAAAAGGGGAAGAGTGGAAGAAAGAAGTAGCAACCAGGATCAACGAGAGATGGAATGCTCAGTAATTTACTGGAGAAATGTGTCATTTACAGCTTAGCAGAAGACAAAAGTGACAGAGCAGCCTAACAAGCACAGTATATGATTCATACAAATTAAGACAAACAGATCAAATGAGGATGAAAACAAAAGTGGAAAAAGATGAATTCTGCAACAAAGTTCTTGAGCTAAGATTTCTAACATATCTTAAAAATTAAGTATGAAAAAACCAGGAATACATGCAGCAGAAACTTTCAAAACCTTAATAATAGCACATTAAGTTCTGTACACTGAAGTGCACGAATCAAACTTCATTGCCATACAAAATTTTCATGCATACATTTCTATGCAATTCAATAATAGAATCACTGTATTAGAAGCCATGTTCTGCCACGTTTAACCCTATAACCTCATTGAAACTAGTGGGGGCAATTGAAAAGCAACCCACTGCTCTCTGCATAAAGACGACATTCATTGTTAATGGTACAGCAAAAACAGAAAGGAAAACTTGACAAAAGAAAAAAATAAAGGGTTTGGCAAATTGAAATGGTCACGGTATCTTGATACCGAAACTAGAGAGCACACTAGTGGTCATACGATATCAAGTCATCAAATCTTAAGCAGCATTCATTTCCATTGCAGAATTAAGCCTTAATAAATCTAAAAAAATAAAATAGGTAATAGATGTATTCCTAGGAAGAGTGAAACACGGGTGGTAGCAATGCAATACACATTAAAAGCACACAGCAAAAATGCAAGTTTCCAAATGTACAACAGAAATAACAAGGTACATATGAGTGTCACCCCACATCTATGTACATGCACATACTTATATTTTTCAATTAAACCCTGACCATTTGAGCAAAGACAATGATAAATAAAGACAGGAAAGTGCAGGGAAAACCAGGGATAGCTTTGTAAAAGTTTAAATGTATATGCCTTAGCTGGAAAGCAACCACAAGAAGACAGACAACAATTTACAAATATCTGAAAGATTAAGCCAAGAGGAAAGCAGGATTAAGGAATGAGAACAGAAAAGAAAGAACAAATTCAGTCAGGAAAATTCTGGTCAAGCATTTAATTATGTATGGAAGTGATTTCTGAAGATGTTGTTGAAAACATCACCAGTTAAGGACATTTAGAATTAAATTAGAAACAAGCCCGAGAGAAACCTCATCTAAGCACCTGCAAAGACAGAGGTTATATGATTAATTACTCCTGATATTTCTAAGTTACAAGCTTCTTAGTATTGTAAATGTAACCCATCATATTTGTATATAAAACCCCCAAAACAGTGTTCACAACAGTATGCACATTGAAAGGCAACTGCCAAAATAAATTCTGGATTTAATTTGTTTTGACTCCAGTGATACAGCTTGAGGACATTTTCTCAATTCATTTGCAAATGTCTGAAGTGATCGAGGATGAGATATCGACTATAGTTGACAAAATTGGCAAGACTCAAATTCAATTATGTCTTTCCATTAACCTTCTCCTGTTTATTCTCAGGATGTTAATAAATGACTTTTCAGAAACATCTACTACAATGTTAAGTTTTAAATACATTTGAGGATTCTTCTCCCTTTTCTCTAAAAATTGGTTTTACACCTTTAATAAAGTTATTTCTAACAGTTCTGAACCAAATAATTTCCTATTCCAACTCAAAACTACCTTTCCCTTTTGCTTTCCACACCCACCAATCTGACAAAGGCACATAACCCAGGCACCAGATGTGCACTAAGATGTGCAGAATCGCCACTAAACATAGTATTCATTCCCTAACATCACCTTATTGAGAGGTTTCAAAGCTTTAAGAGGTAAGAAACCGGGCTTGAGAAAAATCTGGCTATAACCAAGCTCCATCTAACATCTTTCAGAAGCTTTAACGTGGATCACTCGCATACATTGCGGCACTTCCCACTGACAGCTCACCTCGACCTCTAGAGGAACTTCGACCTCGAGGAGCCCCTACCACCGTTCCTCCTCCACGTCCCGTCAACCGCAGGACAGCAGCACTGTTTACGGACATTGAGAAATTTCTCTGCCAAGAAGAAGAAAGAGCCAAGGTGAGATTCTGTTAAAAAAACCAAAATTAGAAACACTTACCGTTATCCTAAATGTAGCTTAACGCCAGCTTTGCTTTCCTTATGTTCACTACAAATTCCCTACCACTGACTAACACTAACAAGGCAAAGGATTCCTTGGAGACATGAGTAGCTGAAGCAGTCTATAAATGCATTTTGGTCAATATTAGTGCTTCCAAGCTACTTACCTGAATTTCCCATGCTTTAAAGGTAGCAAGTGAGCACCTACTCGCTTACCAGATGATTCCAGCACAGAAGTCATTAGAACATCAGCAGCCTTCAACACAGCCGTTCAGTTGCAAAAACTGACTGGCACCTACCTATACCTGACAATTAATACCAATTCTAAACATCCTTCTTAAGTAAAACAGGAACATGTAAAGAGTAACAGAACCTGAACAAAATTTCATTTGCCAATCTCCTTTGCAGAAATAATTTTTTTTGCTTTAAGTATATCACAGGAGTAACATGCTTTGGGGAAAACTAAGTGTGTTTAAGACTTCTGAAATTCAAGTCATAGTCATTAAAAATCAACTTTATTTTAATACGAAGTAATCACTAAAGAAAAAGCAATTTCAGTAAAGAACGGATAATTGTAACCAACTCTGGCCCCATTCTCTGAGCACAAATAGTTGGGAAACTGGGCCAAAGAATTCAGGAGCCCATTCAGAAACATTAACAAGCAAACCTGAATTCACACACTTTTTGAATGCAAGTTTTAAATAATTAGTTCTTCCTACAAAGTAGATCTTCCTTCAGGAGAGAACTAGTAACTACATAGACTTGAGGGAAAAAAGAAATCCAGTCATGCATGGCAGAATAGCAAGGTCAGCCTCCAGTAAATCTGATTGTATTTTCCCAGCTAGCTCTTAAAGTTTAAGTCAATCATTTCAACAGCAAGTCAAAATGACCACCTCCATTTGCCTCTAAGCAAATCATCACCTTTCCTGCTGTTGATACTTCTGCTTTTTTTGTGAACTGCTGAAGTATTTCACTACAGGAAAAACTTTAAGCTATTGATCAGATACACTGTCTTGCATAGGAGATTCCTTAATTTTTGATGCCTTATTTTTCCAATAAGAACAAAACAATAATCTCACTTCCTTTTTCAGTTTTGTTTGTGATTGAATCTCTCTGCCTAAACCCTGAACAAATTCTCCCTCCCCTCTGCATAGCTTGCTGTGGTGAAGATGCAATCCTTGTAACATACATAATGATAATAATCCACATGGTAAAATCCCCCTAGAAGCTACACTAAGGCACATGGAGGACATGGAGGTGATTCAAGGCAGGCAGTATGGCTTCACCAAGGGCAAGTCCTGCCTGACCAACCTAGTGACCTTCTATCATAGAGTAGCCACTTCAATGGACAAGGGAAGAGCTACAGATGATGTCCATCTGGACTTCTGTAAGGCCTTTGACACAGTCCCCTACAACATCCTTCTCTCCAAATTGGACAAATATGAATTTCATGCGTGGAGTATCTGGTTGTGGAGGAGGTTGTACAGTCACATTCACCTTGAATACTGTGTGTGCTTTTGGGCCCATCGCTACAAGGACATTGAGGTGCTGGAGCATGTTCACAGGAGGGCAACAAAGCTGGTCTAAAGAAGCAACTGAAGGGTCTAAAGAACAGGTCTTATGAGGAGCAGCTGAGGGAACTGGGGTTGTTCAGTCTGGAAAAGAGAAGGCTGAGGGGAGACCTTATCACTCTCTACAACTACCTGAAAGGAGGATGTAGCAAGGTGGGTATCGGTCTCTTCTCCCAAGTAAGTAGTGATAGAGAAAGAGGAAACAGCCTCAAGTTGTGCAAGAGGAGGTTTAGACTGGACATTAGGAAAAATTTCTTTATTGAATGAGTGGTCAAACGTTGGAACAGGCTGCCCAGGGAAGGGGTGGAGTCACCATCTCTGAAGGTGTTCAAAAAACATGTTGATATAGCACTTCTGGGAACAGTTTAGTGGGCATGGTAGTGTTAGGTTGACGGTTGGACTTGATGACCCTAGAGGTCTCTTCCAACCTAATAATTCCATGATTCTAACTCAATTCTTTCCTAATGCAAATAGGAATAAGGGAGGCAGAGGGGAAAGGCAAAGGAACATACGCTGCATATCGTCAGTGGTGGAAAACTCTGTTAAAGTTATCTGCAGAAACCTCTTCCTCAAAAGACAGTTCCCTGGAAACAGATCTTCGATGAGTCTATGATGTCATTTAATAAAACTTAAAGGTGAAGGCATTGAGCTCTAGGTTAGCTCAACATCCTCATCACCAGATAAGTGACATTCTACAGAAAAATGATAATAAGGACCAGCAATTCTATCCAAACTATATCCGTGTCCTGTAATAGGGAATACTGTAGTCCTAAGTAACTGAATAGTTAAAACCCCACAATACTAAACAAATTTAAGCTTAAATTCATATAGCTGACATTATCCATCATCCACCTCTAGGTAACACACCTTTAAATCAGCTTGAGACAAGTTCTTCCCAGACATACTACACATACAACTACAATGCTATCAGGTCCGTAATTCTCAGGTTGCAAGCAAGAACTGTGCTGAATCCAAGACTAGAGTAAGCCTGACTGGTTCACCTTCAACTGAACACTACCCCAAAGTACATGTGTTCTCATCAGCCTATCCTCTACAGGATTCCAAATCTGTCCCTCAGCTTCTGAGAGGATAATACCACCTGCAGTGCTCATGGAGGGGGCATAAAGGCATTTTAAACTCTTATCAACCTTTGGTGAAGGAGATTTCCTGCACCACAGCTAGCAGCAAAGCCATTAACATTAACCTCAAGATCACTTCTGAACATGATTCTTGATAATGACCAATGTTTAATATGTCATGGGGAACAAACACCAGGAATTTCTGGTAGCTTAAATAATGCCATTCCCTTGCTATCTCACATCAGAAAGCGGAGAAAAAGATCTTCAGACAAGAAAAACCAGATTGTTCACATCCTGTGGGTCCCCAAAAAGCACTAAAGGAAAGACTTTCTTGAAAAGGGAATATGGACCTCTTCTTTCAGATTAAGATTTTTGCAGAGCTTGCAGAGAACTGCTAAGATGATCATGAAGACTCCTTTGTAACTACACATGAAAGAGCAGTAAAAAAAAAGTGACATAGTGCACATCAACTCCTCAGAAGTTTTCAAGACTGATCAAAACACTGGGCACAGCAGTAGAGGACCACATATCCCTGAAGCTCAGCAGCACTTACCATCTCATCTGTACCAAGAGGCTACTCGGCACACTTTCAACACTATAGCCTGAAACCCGTATTACTCCTCTTGGAGAGTATCTTGGCAATCACCAGAAGTCAACATCCCCTTTAACCATAAAAGGCTTGTAGTTTACTCTCTGAAGGACTCCGCTACGTATCAGAAAAAAGTACGTCCAAAGGTATTTAACACCAAGGTTCAATATTCTGGTGTGCTACTGTACATCTGGTTGACACTTCCTCGGCTTGCTGCCTGAATCCCTCCTGCTCACACTGGAGAATGGGAGCTGGGCTAAGATTTTGCATGAAAGTATAGTCTTAAAAGGCAACTTAGACTGAGAATAACTATGACATGAAGTGCCTACAGTGTATTCATGTGAACTTAAATAAGACTGCTGATTAAAAGCTAAACTATTAGCATCTTAAGGATAGCATTCTACAAAGACACAAAAAAGTATGAATCAACTCTGAAGAGGAAGCAATTCCAAAAGAGAAGAGGATATGCCAGAATATCCAGGCACAAAGAGATGATGAAAAATTGAAGAAAACAATAGCATGAAGCAAAGGAAGGAGGATGCTCTGAAATCTTAAGAAACTAACACTTCCCACCTCTTTTTTTAGGAATTGCATTCAAGTCAGTAAAAATACTTAGCTTTCGAGCAGAAAAGAAACAAAAAAAAACCCAAAACAGTGTTCTGAAGTAAGAAAAGTGCTGAGAAACATGACAAACCACAGAGCAACTGCAAACTCAGACGTTCTGACAGCCATAAAGAGGGAATCAATTCAGAGTCAAAAGTCAGAGGCATTTATCTGGAGGGGGCAGTTTTCTCTGCTAGGATTCAAATTTAAAGCAAGAGCTTTCAAACTACTCTGATCAGTGACCCCTGAAACAGAATCTTTGCGGACTACCTGTTCTCACTCTTACCTTGTTCCCCAATTAGTTATATACCTATAGAGACCAAACAAGGAAATAATCAAGCAGCTGCTTACATACAAAACAGCTGAGCACTGCCCCTTCCTAAGAAATGTTAACAGTCAAAAAACCTCAACACTTCTCCAAAGACCACAAAACTGAAGTCACACACCTTAGACTTCTATCGCAACAGAGAAGGTGGTCCAAAAACTGTATAAAGTTCCACTGATCTAAAAATGCCGTGTACTTAAGAAATAGGTAATACTTCCCAGATGATCCTAAATTTAATTAGTTGACTGTCTGCCATCAACAGAACACCAAACAAAAGGTATTTGTTCAAACTTCAGAAAACTGAGATGGAGTATGAACTTTATGATAATAGAGTATGCATTCATAATTTCTTTCCCTGAAATCTAACGGAGGTGTACTGTTCTGCCACTACACTAATGACAATCTAAACATTTTTTTTTTTTAAAAAAAAGTGACATTTAAAAAAAAAAAGGATACAAACCTGTTCTTCTTCTGTAAAAGGTACAAGTGCCAGTGGTGGCAGGGGCTCTTCTTGTAAAATAGGCAGAAACTCCTTATCCAGAAGGTCTGAAGGTATCTGTATGAAAGGAAAACAGCATACAAATACACCCAAGTATTTCCACTTCAGAGATGATGCCACACACTTTGATTCACAAAAATATTTTTTTATCCTGCCAACTCTACCTCCATCTACCCAGTACCCCAGTACTTCAAATAACATTTATTTTGGGTGGGTGTAACTCCACTGCAAATTTACTTCCCCCAGAAAAAAAAAAAATATAGACAAAACATCCAAGCATCCACCACCCACACCTGTAATACGTCAAGTATCAATATCATACACATCAGAACTCAAGCTTCCACACCACTGCAGCTCAAATGTGAACTGAAATTTCATCTGGTAAACTAAAAAAGTATTGCTTTAACCTCAAAGCACTTTTATAGCCAGACTTTTATTTATAGACCAAAACTACCCTATATAGCACAGAAGTTGTTTTTGAACTAAAGTCAGGATTTACAACTTAAAACGAACAAGGAGAGTAAAACAAAACAGAAGTAGTAAAGTGAGAATATAGGTATGGATTTATTAAGTAGAGAACACTGATGATTTAAATCAAAATAAAAATATTTCAATCCGTCCATCATCAGATGGACGCTCCATCAGCAGATGTGACCTTGAGCATGTGGACAAGAAGCTGCAATTACAGCCAAGTAAGTTCTAATTATGCCAGCAGAGAACTGTTTCAAAAATACCTAGTTCACAATACTAGAGATAAAAACTTCTCCCAATTTTAACTGAAGCAAAGCAACCTAGGATTTTATTTTTTCATTTCAGTATACACTAGCAGAAATCTTCCTGCTTCCAGTGAGAGTATCTCTCAGAAATGCAACTTTGCCTAATCTTCAGCCAGCAAAGACTGAAGATGTCACAGTGAGAAAGGACTAGGGTACAAGATACAGCTTAAAAGCACTGCATCTAGTAATTGACTAGAAACAGTGTCAAGAGTCCTCTCAGTCTCAATAACCAGAATTACTCGGCACCATGGAAACGCATACATCAAAAGCAAAACATACTCTAATAATAATGCCCTTCTGGCCAACACACAGGGAGAAAAATATGCTTTTGGATGATTTGTAACCACCTGAGAGCTTCCGGTAACACAGGGTATTAATAAGTTGCTCTGAATCAGTCACAACTGTAGAGGTCGCAGCATCGTCTGATACAACATACCAAATTGTGAAAAAACAATGGTGTCTGACAGGCTGACTTATTCAAGCATAACCTCAAGTTTTAAATCACAGCTTCTCAAAGCAGAGCAGGATAATTCTGCATGTTAAAGCATGGCTTTAAGCTACAACACACTTAAAAGCTTTAGAAAAAATCTTTGACATTCAATGCCCTTGAATCCACATAGAAGCAATGCAGGGCTCCCAGCACTGTATGAAAATGTCAGCACGGTCATGGTAGGGTAAGAACATGGAGGTATGTGTGCACATCTATACGCAAAGCTAAAGGCACAACCTCACATAATTCCTTGCAGTCCCTCCCTGACTCGAGGCTAAGGCTCTCCAAGAGATTCAGACTTCCAAGTCACTGTGGGCCTGCTCCAACAATAAACCAACCTCTGTCACCACCTACAGAAAAACCTGATGTTTACAAATGCAGAATGTATGAATCATTTGCCTGGAACACTCTCCAAAATGTGACTTTTGTATCACTGAGAACCCTTGTCTGAATTTAAATAAGAAGGAAGTTCTTGACTTTCTACACTGCTCTTTTGTATTACACGTGCTAGACTGTATTTGTGTCCTGTGTCCCAGAGAAATAAACTACTTGAGGACCGCTTTCATTGGGCTGGGTACCTGCTAAAGTGAGCTGCCTTAAGCCAGGGTAAATGGGGAGCTCTTGCCTTTTTTAGATCTGCTAATATGACTTATTGCCTGACTTTCAGGCTGAATCAAGTAACTGTTTTACACTATATTAAATAAAATCCTACTGAGGCAAGCAAATCTGCACAGCTGCAAGGAGACTTAAACCCTCAGTCACCTGTGGCAGCAGGACCGAATACGGCAATCAGGTTTTTTTTGTTCTCAGGGCATACAGGAAGTTGCTCCTAAGTGGCAAAAAGAATCAAACATAACGAATGGAGCAAGAGCAAGGTCAAATAAGCACATACACAAAAAACCCCACAATCAGATCTCTTCAGTTCTTTGCCAAGGGATAAACAATTCCTCTGTCCACAATCACAAAATACAAGTAACTATTCCTAATCACAAGACCATCATTAGGAATACACACATCAGGCCTTCTTCTTCTTCCTGCTCACCTTATTATCCTTTAGAAAAAGTGCCAACATTTCTTCTCTCCCATAGCGATAGTCTGCTAGTTTGTACTTTGGCAAAGCCGGAGACAGAGGAGGGGATGTCACGCTCCCGCCACTAGACAAAGCTCGCAGCCTAAAATAAAGCAGAAAAGCAATGAAAAAAGAATTGAGGAGAATGTGTCTTCAACTCTTGCTATCATCCCTCTGCACATTTACAGGCTTGACACAAGTGAAATAAATGCAGTACTGAAAGCAAAGGAAAGACATTAACAGTTTAACTTCAAAACTCTAAAACTTGGTGCTTCAACCAGGAGAGCAAAAGAGCTTCCCTCATTTTCCCCATAGCCAGGAAAGAGAAAGAAAAAATTCCCACAAGCACATCAATGAATTCAACTCATTCCATGGAGAACTCTTATGTTGACTATAAAGCAAGCTAGCTACTCCCCTAAAGCCTTGACTAAGCTATTTACACTGCCTGCACAAAATTCAGTTGTAAATCTTCCATAGATATTAATGACGACAGCTTCTTTTTGACAAGAAAAATTCTTACCACTCTAGGGACAGTGTGGCAAACATCAATCTAAAGAAAAAGTTTATTCAGATGTTTTGCAAAGTTTAACAAACAGTATAGGACAGTAAATTTTGCAATGAAGTTTCTTCTTGTGTCTCCGGAATCCTAGTCTAGTACAAATTCCTCTTCCAGAACTTAAAGTTAACGTCATTTTTTCAGAAAGTGCATATATTATTTCGCTTAGTGCCTCAAAAAAAAAAGTAGAAAATAGGGCCACACTTCAGAGACATTTCAAGCAGTAATCTAACTGACGGTTACAGATAAATACGCTATTAAATTTGGTCCCATCCCACACAGGTAATCTACTCAACTTCTTGCAGGTAACATCTTCCAGTTGTATGATATTACTCCCACTCCCCAGGTGGATTAGTCTTGTTCTATGCAATCATTTCCTCAGCTACCCAAATACCCTGTATTTTTAAGTTTGAGGACTGTTTTACAAAAGGATGCATGACAAGAAAGAAAACCCAGACCATTTTCCTACATTCTCCTTGATGAGCGTCTTCGACAAGTAAAGAATGAAAACTCTTCCCAACAATTGCAAAATCCTTGGGAAGAAAGGTGCTCTAAAGTAAAACATTGATTCAGAGGCTACCTTTCACCTAATTATTGAAGCATGCCTTGATTTGTTTATTGTTCTTTAAACAGAAAAGAAAAAGTAATTTGCAAGTCAAATACTTATCTTATTTTTTTAGTTTGGTGCCACCCAGTGGCAGTTTCCTCACGTACCACTCCCAAACAAAAAGTGCCTGGGAAGGCGGTATTTCAAAGGATTACATGTTCAACCCCAAACCAGATCCAATGTGACCAAGAGTTTCATTATTAAATGATACCACAGCTTACATGACAGACATGACTATACTGCGACCCAAAATAATAATTATAGATCTTATAATTTTATCCCATTATTCTTGCAAAAATCTAGTAACTCACTGAAGTACAATATATACTTTCACAAACTAATCTGGTTTTTAAACTAAATGGAGACTGAAGTCCCTTCACAATGATACAGCAATCAAGTTGCTGTTAAAATAAGTGGTTTTTTTAGAGTTGCCTTCCCCCTTCTCTTCTTTAATGTAACTTTGGCTTCAATCCATCAATGAATCTAATCATGTCTGTGTCTTACACTGAAGAACACTCCAGCATAAGATATCTGCCTGGCTGGTGTATTTATAGATAGTGATAAAGTCAGTCTTTAACCTTCTTTCAATCTAACAAAATAGACTGAGCTTTCTCATTGTTTTCCAGGCTACAAATCATGTCTTCTTTGTTGACTGCTCTCCAATTTTAGTATATGGTGTATAAAAATGTGTCAGCGAAAGTGAATGTTATTCCAGCAACGTTCCTACCACATGCTATGTGGTGATTATATTCCCTATAACCTCTCCACACTCCCATTTACACACTTAAGGATCACATCACTCTTCAGAAACCACACCATCCACAATTCTTGTTTGTAACCGCAGTCACCAGCACTTTAACAAGTAATTGGAACAAATACTGAACAATAATCATACCTGTGCAACTACTCTTTAGCAAAATTCAGGACAACACACGTCAGACAAGCTGGAAAACTAATAGCTGACACAAGGTTACACAACATCATGGACTCCCTTTAACACAAAAGTTATTGTTCCTGACATTTTTCAGTGCGCACATGCAGGAGACTATGACATGAAATACACACTTTCACCATATTCCATATAGATAGGGGTTTTTTAATGCTGGAAAAAAAAAAAGCTTGCTTAGTTATAGACTGAAGCCCAGTGAGGAGCGTGTAAGAACTTCCTTATTAATATCTATCACATGGAAAGACCAAGCAAGTAAGTGTTCTTCACTTGCTTTGCATACACCTCCAAGATCATAAACATTATTCCTCCCTCAGATACTCAGTAGCAATGTCAATGTCTCACATAAAGATGAAACTCAATTCATTTCATACACAATGCCAATTTACCAAGTGAAGACTAATCTTACAACGTTACTTTCAGTCACAGGCCAGGGACTGAGGTGAAGCAGTATGGAACAACAAAGACATTATATCCCATTCAGTCTTATAATCAATTTAGCCCCAACCCCAAAGGATAGAAATTCATTATTTTTGTGGGTGTGTTTGTTTTGTTTGGTTTTTTTTTTTTTTAAGTTTTAGACAAGGTTTCAGAGTCTCACAAAAGAGAAAAAACTCACCATTCAGGCCCAAAGTTAAGTGTCTGAGTTTCTGCTGCCATTTTTTCCTGTTCTATTCCTTTTTTAAAAAGTGTGAACCTAAAAAATAAGAATGTTTACTATGAAAACAACTGGATTAATACAGTCCTTCATAAATTTCTTCACAATACAAAAGCATACTTGGTCATGCAAGAAAGTGAAAAAATGGACTACATTTATTTTTTTTTTTAAGGAATCCACTTCAGCTCTCCAACACAGATTGATTTACTTATATAGAACTAACTGCATCAAGATCTCTTCCCTAAATTCCTCTTTTAACAGCTCAAACAGGACACTGGATCAGGGTGTCTGAAGAAACAATTTGTACAAACACTCCCTTTTCAAGTCAGTGATTACTGCAAGACAGCCAAACACAGAATTTGATGCATAATCCTCTTCTGTAAGAGCAGTAATGCTTAATTAACAGAACTGCAGCTTCCTGACAATTACATGAGGATAAAAAAGCCCAGTAGAATTACAGCAAGAAAGATTTGCCAGTTGAGTGGCAGAGTATTCAAGAAATTTCCACTGCTCATTCTTGAAAAATAAGCCTTCTAGAGATTGAGTACACCCAATGCTGGGATAGCCTCCTAAATCTGAGGGCAGATGACAGTATTTCTCTCATTCTTGGTTTTATAAAGCAAAAAACCACGCAACTTAAGACTTGAGCTACTTTCATTCCTATTAGCCAAGGACCTGCAGACACTACTGAAGGTCAGGCCAAGCTCCTACACATCAAGAGGGAAGGGACAACAGCAGATGAAGCCATACTGGAGGGAAAGAACAAGACTAAGGGAAGGCTATCAAGTTTTCTCTATCAGAGCCAAGTCCAGCCCAGGCAGTCCCGGGGAAGCGTCTTTTGCAGTAGGAAAACACAACTCCTCTTTCCTTCCAGGAACGGCAAAATCCAAATCTGCAGAGGAAGGGGTTTTGGTTTGGTTTTTTGGGGTTTTTTTTTTGTTTGCTTGGTTGGTGTTTTTTTTAAAAATCAAACACACTGTAACCAAAGCCCAAAAAAAACAGGATTTGAAGCATCACCTACAGAAACCAGTGGATTAGACTTCAAGAACCCATGAAGACAGACAGTAGGGAGAGAGCTCTGTCATATCAGAACTCTGTTTCTTAATAGACCCAAGGACTAAATAAAGAGCTTTTCCATCACCTTTTTTACATGAAAAGGTGATGGAAAAGAAAAACAAAACGTGGGGAGATAGAAGTAGAAAGGGCATTAAGTTACTGAAGAAAAAGACAAAACCAAACAAAGGAAACACTTTTTTCTTACATATATGCTAGTGAAATAATGATACTGAAGAAAAAAAAATCAACAGCCTGAAAGCTAAAAAATGCACCGAAAAACCCACAGTAAAACTCCTTGAGTAGATTTTACCCAAATCTTTTGGGCATAAGATTACAAATAGTTGCAAAACTCCATAGAGCCTAAACCTATCAACCAACATTTGGCTCACGCATTGTTACTACATGCCATATTAGCTTTTTCCCATACACAGTAACTTATATGCAAAGTGTAGTATTTTTATTTTCACAATAACCTTATATAACGAAATGGGACTACCCCCACTACACACACCAGAAGCTAATACAGTAATATCTAGCTATGCTCACAGGCCTAGTTTGAGATGATTTTGGTCTGATTTGGGTTGCCTTTTTGAAGTAGCTGACAGCTCATTAGAACATTCCCGGTATATCCATTCAGCATTCTGTAAATCGAAATAGAAGCTCAGGTACCTAAAAGAGACATAACAGCAGCCACATGTGAACATACTGTGGGACAATTCAAGCAAGCCATCGTCCACACTTTGGCAGAGACAAGCCTCTAACACAGTTCCTAGCAGCCTTAATTCGACAGATGTCCCTTTGCTTCCTGCAATGCCTGTAATCCTTCTGCGGGGGGGCGGGAGGAAGAAAGAGCTTTCAGATCAACCCATGTGGATCACCAGGGAACCTGGGATCTTTAGCTCCTAACAAAGCTAGCTTAGTGTCAGTAATATCAAAAACGATGGCACTGAATGTTAAACTGCAATGAAAACACAGCTGAAAAGCATCAGATGCAAGGATAAAGCACTAACAACAGTTAGGATTCAGTGGTTTACTAGATTTGGACCCACCAGGCCCCACCCTCTTCAGCCTCTGGGTCGTCTCCTTCCCAAAAACTGCAGATACTGTGTCATCTTTCTCTACTAGACTCCTAAGCACTTTAGTACCCTACAAGCATACTCAAAGACTGCTAATCTCATGCCACTGAGCTGAAAAATGGCTTTCCTTGTCTCTTATTTTGGACACCACACTTTATTTTGGGAACTCTTTGCTAGCTTCCTCTGTGTTGCATTCGGATCAGTTACTCACTCCCTAGAAGTTCTGACTTGAAAACAAGACACCTGTAAGTAGATGAAACTGTGGCTGAACAAGAAAAAAAAAAAAAAAAAACCAGAATGAAAAACCGACCTGCAGATGATCTGAGTAGGTTTAACTGGTGAATTTACTCCAACAGGCAACGCTACCCAGGAAAAAAAAAAATACATGAAAGACATTACAGGCAAAGCTGAGAGCAAACCCTTGGAAAGGAGGCACTCTAGAAAGAGGTGATGATTTGGGAGGAGGGGGGCAGAGGAACAGGAAAAAAAATTACTCAAGAAAGCTAAGGCAGCAAGTGCACGAGAGAAATACACTTAGCCACATTAGAGCAGACAAGATAGGGAAAGGAAAAAACATGCACTGCTTCTGCTAGTTTACAAAGCAGCGGCCAAAAGGCAAGAGCATGGAAGTCAAACTGGAGAGGAACCTCTGACAGAGACTGCACAACACACTGTCGGTGCGCAAAGGAGAAGCTGTACTAACTGGAAAGGCAAGTCGGGGTGGACTACGCGGCACTCACTTCATGAGAGGAAAGAGTCAAGGTGAAGCAAGAAAAAGTGTGACGAATTAAGAAAAGGAAATGAATGATCAGGTCATAAATTTAAGGATTTTGGCCAAGGAAACGGCATTAATTTATCAGATCTTTGTTATCTAGATAACTTTCTTAGGCTCTAAACTTCAGTATTAATAATTAAAATGTTAATTTTGGTCTTTTTTATCTATGCTGCCTCCTTATTAATCAAGGATAAGTATACGTTATTTTTGTGATTTGCTAACATTTCCTCCTTGACAGAATTTGATGAGGGAAAAGTCCCTTTCTGAACTGCTACAGTTCTATAAATCAAGATTTTCTACAAATTAATGGCTATTGATTGAGGAATCTGCACAGCCACAAGTTTTGTATGGGCAAAGAGCACACAGGGACAGCCTCAAGTCGAAGCAAGAAACTGAGGCCATATTTTGTTAGCATCCAGTCAGCACCACTGCTTAGGCAAGAATGCTACCTCAGGACTTCCCACCACTCCTTCAAAAGGGAGCCTTTTGACCTTTTCTTCAAATCAGGTTAACACTTGATCAAGGTGCCAGTGCAACCCTACAAACAGTTGCAGTTTTCCTGCATATTTGGGGAAAAATGGAATTGCTTCATATACAGGAACCAGGACCCCCTTTTCCTGGGGTGGTACTGCAGCCACCAACCCGCTATTAGCATGCAGGACTGAAAAGAGAATAAATACTGTCAACCCCACCATTAACCTGTGGACCTATTTTGCCAGCAGCTTAGTACTTTGGAAGTCAGAAGTCCATCCTCTGGGAAGACACAAAATGTAATCCAATAACATTAAGCCTTTAAGTGGCTTTCACTCACAAATAACAGGTAATATAGGTATAGAAGTTGCTATCAGCAACACTCATTTCATTGGTTTGCTTTAGGCACAACAGTTGTTTTACCAAGCTCACAGTTTTTTACATTATTTTTCAAGCTCACTATTTAGTTTGAGAGTTTTAATAGGTTTGTCAGGTACATCTGCTTCAGACACAAGCTGGAACTTGACTCTACCAGTTAGATTTGTGTGGTAAAATGCACAAGATGTTTCAGTTAAAAAAAAATCTAAGAAAGGTCTATAATTATTGCAGCACATTCTGGCCACAAGCTCTGGTCTTTTAAAACGCACAGCTACCTAATAAATGTCTAGGCAAAAAGCTGTTTTCCAGAGACTCTGAAAGATCTAAACCAGCATGTTTTCCAGACTTTCGCAGGCACTTGAGTTAAGATTTTCAGGCAATGTTAAATTCCTACAACTCCATTACAGAATTCTGTTGGCTTGTACCACATGGCAATCTGTCTCACCAAGAGGTTTTGCTGTTCAGGATAGAGATAAACTGATTCTTAGCATCTCAAGTTGAGTCTAGGCAATGACTGCATTCAGGTCTGCCTATCTAATCTTTCCTACAGACAAAAAAAATTAAAGATTTGGACTGTCACTGCAATTTATAGTTTTGGGTCTGCTGCTTGCTTAGGTTTTTCATTAACTTTGGAAACCTAAACATCAGAAGAAATACACACCACTGATCCTTCCTATACACAGCTATTCTAATTTGAAAATGTCTACTGTTTGATCAGAGATGTTTAGGAAGAAAAGTATCCTTCCTTTTCAAGGTAGTTCTGTTGCTACTGTAGGTTTGAAACAGCCTTTTTAACCTAGAAATTGGCTGAAAATTTTGAGAAGCGAAGAAAACAATGGAAATCTAACACAAGCAGATTTCAGTGCAAGGAATTTGGTTCTCCTTAAATAAACTTGGAACAGGAATTTAACAGCAGTGCTTCAACATGCAACGGCAACGTTACATCAAGATGGTAAAACTTCACCTTCCACAAGCAAGAAATTCCACAGGCAGCTACTACAGCTAGCTAATTTCAGTGCCTGTAACTGTGTTTTTAAAAAAATTAACAGGTTGACTGAATAATTAATGCTGATTTTGTCTAATTCCTGAAATATTAAAGAAGATCCAGAACAGTATGCAAGCTACCTTTTAAATACAGCAGTAAACAGGATGACTTGGGTGGTTATACTACCAGTCTGTTTGACATTAATCATTGGCTAAAGGAGAGAACATTGATTAAAGGACAATGACATAATTAAGGCCAGCCAATGTGGACTTATGGAAGACATTCAATCAAAATATACTTTTGTAATAGCAGAAATTTCATTGCTCAAGCAAGTATGCGAAATAAATTTTAACTTCAGCACATTTCAATCATGTAGAATGCTAAGGAGGCCAAAATAATTCAGAATCACATGAAAAGTTTCAAATCATCATAACCTATTTTTTCTTTTAACCTTCTCTTCTAAAGAATCTACAAAGACCCATCTCAGAAGGCAAAATACTCTTGAAACAGTAAAAGTTAAGAAGCTATCCTCTACTTCTATAGAATCTGTAACACTGGCCCACATAACTTCTAAAACCTGAGGATGACAAACATGGACATTGTAAATAATGGAAATGACACATCAATAAAACCATTATGAATTATTCAATTACTCATTCCAGTCTATCAGGTCATATTTAATAAGGCCAAGCATACAATCAAAAGACTGATAAGCAGAAAACATAGGTGATATACAAACACAAGACTATTCTGGAAAAACATAGTCCTGAAACCAGTCTGAGATTTGATATTAATCAGCTAAAAAGGAACATATGATACAACATCGACTAGAAGAGCTAACAGAAAACACTGAATGCAGAAATAAGGAAATAGAGTAAATAGAGTGGATTTTTATCAGTGCAGGGATACTGTATCCTGTTCTGTTGTCAGTAAGGCAAGAAAGCTGATAAATCAGGTGTTCAAAAATTGACAGAACATAACAGAAATGCCTTACAGTGGGGGAAAAAAAAAAAACCACAACAACACCACACCAAAGCTCTATTTATCAAGCTTTGAGAAAAATTTAAGTATCTTGCTCAGTCCATAAATGATCATGCAGGTAAAAAAGACTGAAGACCCAAGTTTATTCAGTGAAGGGACTGCAGCAAGACATTCAGAGATAAACAACAGAGTAAGTTGTTTTCAGGTCAACACTAAATGATTTTCTAAAAAATATGTTCTAGTTGAAACAGAAAACTGATCAGTAAAAAAGAAATCCATTAGTCACCTTACACAAGATGCCAGGCGAATCCCAGCAGTCCCTTCTGGCTTACCAAGTCTTTATCCTGATAAAGGCAGTGAATTTTTGAAGGTCTATCTACCCACATGCC